TGTTAAATAGAAAGATCTAAGAATATATAAAATAAAGGAGGGATCTTCTATATATATATATAAATATATATATATATGCACTTATTTCTAAAAACGTTTGCCATCAGAGTTATACTTCATTAATTTTATATACTTCTTTAATTTGGTATATTATTTTTTCTTATCAAAGGCTTTTCTACACCAATATCTTTGAACATTTGCAACTTGAAAGAAAAAAAAACAAGAAGAAAAGAAGTGGAGAAAATAAATTTTCAACCTCTCTCTCGACAACAAAAAGTTTGAATATTTTAAAAGTGAATGGTTTCCTCATTGTATGTTTTGTTGTACGGAGTTGAAAATTTGCAATTTAAAAAAATATCATTCTTACTTGTATTCTTTCACAAAAACGTTTCGTTTTCTAGTAAAAAAATGAAATACGTGTGCATTATAAAAAAGGAACACTAAAAATAGCCTTATATAAGATTTTATTTTTTTTTTTTTTTCAGATGAGACTGCATGCTTAATTTTTTTACCACGTTATTTTATTCATAATAATTGTCTATCATGAATGTGCGAAAATAATGTATTGCTGTCAACAGTTGTCTCTCAAGTCATTTAATACAAGTGTTTTCGTGTACAACTAACAATCCTTAAAATGATAAACTACACAAGTAGTGAAATGAACGAAATGCACTTTGTTTACGGTATTCCTAACAGCAACACTATACCTTTATGAAAAAGGTTATCCATGTCTTACAATTAGTGAAATTTGTAGTTTTAAAAAGCGTACCACAAAAATGGACATCCTCAAACAGTTACTCCTCAAATTTTCAAATACTTAACGAAATTGAGGATAACCCTACAACAAGATTGCTCACGCATTAAATATTAGCCATCCAACAGTTTTAAAAATTATCTATCATATTCAGCTTATACTTTCGCCCGTTGATTTGATGATTTTCACGCATAGTAGCTGTGTGTCGATGGACGCAAGAAAGAATAGGGCACAATCCTCGAATTTTTTCACAAATACTCTGCCGACGGAGTTAACAATACTTTTCTAGAAATGCCATAATGAATTTTCATAACAATACAACATACAAAGTTGCATCCCCGAGGAGTTATTAGCCCCCAAAGTGGAGTCCTAAATTTCCAAAAAAATTAATATCTGCAACACTACCGTAGAAGTCAATAGTAGGCAATGAATTTATCTTTCAAACTTGTCAGTTAGTAATAAAATTATTTTATTTCAACAATTGCCTCTGATTGTTGTTGAAAAAATATCAATTATTATTTTTATTATTTATTTGTGTTTTTTACTTAATACATACAATATTCGTTTATTTAAAAACTACCTAGGTACTTGTTTTCTTTTTGTAGAATTAGGAGAGAAGTGAAATAAAAATTATTTAGCCAATTGTCAAATTTGAAAGATAAACCCTGCTAATGACTTGTTTATTATTTTCTAATGAACACTGTTAAAATCTTCTGTCAGTTAATACGGTTTTTCCTTGAAAACCATAAAGTTTTTTAAAATTTAACACGAGTAAAAAATTTTTTTAAAATTAATGCTGTGAATTAATATTACTATTTTTCAATTCGGTCAATGAAAAAAAAGTTCGGTACAATTTTGGGAGTGGGTCATCCCCAATGAACACTTTGTAGTGCTTCAATCTACTTTAAATCATAGTCAAAAAAGACCAGTAATAAACCTAAATCATGTACCAAATTTGGTTCTTCTACGGAAAAGTGTTGCAGAGATATTATTATTTTTTAATTTTAAGGCTCCACTTTGGGGGCTAATAACTTCTCAGGGGTGCAACTTTGTATATAGGTAAGTTTGGTTAAATTACAATGTTTTGGACACTCCTACATGCATCTGCCCTGTGTCGGTTCTTATGAGAGACACCCTGTATATCTGATAGCAGACGTTTTTAGAAATAAGTTTATATGCAGAGTGAATCAGGAGAATCGCACCAAACTCCAGGAATGAATTCCACACGCCAAATTAATAAGGAAAAACTTAAATGTTAAAAGATTTTCATTTGTTTTCAAGTTTGCTACATGTTTTTCTTTAATAAGTGCTGCAGTATTGATGATACGCCTTCCGAGTGTTCACTCTAACTTTGTACACCTCATTTTTGAACCAGCCCCATAATCAGTAATCTAGTGCTGGAGGTCTGGAGATCTTGGAGGCTAACTAATAGGACCACTGCGGCCAATCCAAAGTTCTGGAAACTTTTTGTTCAAATGTAGCTTGACTGAACAAGCGAAATGTGCAGGAGTTCCATCGTACTGATAGTACATTCGCATTCTCGTGTTTATAGGATTCATTTTGTAAAAGATTTAAGTAGTGGTCTCTTGTGAGTCGATTCTCCAAAATGAAAGGTCCAACTATCGATCATACCACACCACACGTTTACCGAAAACCTATGCTGAAAATTACTTTCGAGTGTTGCATGAGGATTGTTTGACCATACATAAGAGTACCGAGTATTAGTTATGTCGTCACGGGTGAATGTTGCTTCATCCGTAAAAACTAAGTGGGATACAACAAAATTATTATTGACTCATCGACAAAACTCGATACACTTAGCATACTCTTCCGGTTGTAGGTCTTGTACACTTTGTACATGGTAAAAAGTATGTCTTGTTCGTGGAGGGTTTTTATTACTCTTTTTTGTGGAATACCCAATTGATTAGCAATTCTTCGTGAGCTGGTTGCATCATCTTCTACTGAACCCAGAATATTTTTTACTTTTTCCAAACCTTGTCGATGAACTTTCAGATGTTGTACTATCACTGGGAAGCTTTCCGGCTTCATACAGTTTGTTGATACATTTTTATAAGAACATCTGTGATGTGGAAACCGTTGAGGATATTCTTCATCAGCAGCATTAGCATTGCCATTACAGAAACCATAAGCAAACACCATATTTGCGTACGCATAAATTTGAGTAAGTTCTTGGCATTTTGTAACACTTTGATCGTGCAAACATGTACTCAATTGTTAAATTATTGCAAGATAAAATGACACTGCTAATTACTCTACTTTTGACTCGGAACATGACATACTCTGATTCAAATTTTTAAAATTTGTAATTGCGCTATAATTTGAAATGAAAATCGCATAAGAACATTTGAGTTTTTTCTGTTTTTGACTTGTAGAATCCACTCGTGGAGTTTGGTGCGATCCTCACAACTCACCCTGTAGAATGCACACTTTATTTTACGGCAAAGAATTGTTCCTTAAAGTTTTTTAAATATTGGAGAAACACCCTGTATATACAGTGGAATATTTTCTTACTGTCATATCGTCCAGAAACAACAATTTCCGATCCTTTGAAGTAGATGGGGAATTTTGTTTTAGTGACTTCCTTGACTTCGGCGTTATATTTAAATGTAATGTTGGACAACAATGGAGATGAAACTTGCTTATAAAACTCTTGTATTTGCAAAGAGGCGTCGGCCGCTTCATATATGTGTCTGGCGAATCCCTGGTTCTTTAAAGACAATTTTCTTAAAAATTCTTTGTCGGCGTCTTCCCCGAACGATAAAGAATATATAGGAATTTTGGATTCAGTATTCAATCGTGTAACCTAAAAAGATTCGAAAAATAAAAATGTTTCTTTGCATTTTATTTTGCTTACAATATTCGTAATTGTTTGTGTCGAATATACACCAACGTTTGGATCACCGTCGGTTAAAAATATAATGACGGGCTGATACTTTTTATCAGAGGGATGATCTTGTCTTACTTTTGCCAAATATAAAGCTGCTTCCAGACCACCAATTATGTTGGTCATACCATAAGCCCGAAGACTATCTATGACTCGGTTTGCTTTAATTAAGGTTTGATTGTCAGCGGTTAAAGCAGCTGGAAACTCTTCTTTCTACAATAATATATGCAAAATTAGATTTAGTGTCTTCTACACATAGAGATATATTAATTATATTATTATGATTAATATTTCAAGTAGAAGCAATATGGAAATACTTACACTTAATTTACTAAATGGTTCCTCATAATTAAAGCCATATCCATAATCTATTGGTGTTCTTTGTTCCTGAGCTACATTCCACACGGAAACAGAACTACCAAAATCTATTATACTTAATATGTCTTGCTCTCTTAATTCATTTAGTATGCTTTTTAAAGCATCTTTCACCTGTTCAATTTTCCTGCCACTCATACTACTACTCGTATCTAGCACGAGTAGAACATGTTTCGGTAATGGTTCCAAGTCAGTTGGGGCAAAGAAATGTACAAAATATCCATCTTGAAGTAGCACCTACAACAAAGGAAAATAAAATAGATCTTTATTAATTTTTATGATTTGCTGAAGACTGAAGTGTGATTTGATTTTCAAACGACCTTGAAGTCAAGGTCAAGGTCATTTTCAAGGTCATGTCAAGATAGTCTCCTTTACTCCCTATAACTTTTGTATGAAACGTTAAAAAAAAAAAGTGATCCCAACAAGGTACCTACTCCGTTATCTCAAGATTCTCGTTCTTTTTTGTTTTTTATGGCCAAAATATGGGTTAAATCGAAATCCGTGGTAAAAAGTCGTAATATGGACCTTTTAATGGCCCCCTCGGTGCCCCACAATTTTTGTCCGAAACTTTTTCCGAAATAAGCGAGTCCAACCGAGATATTATTTTGTCTCAAGGTACATAAATAGTTTTTTTTTTAAATACTCAAATAGTAAAGCATAAACCAACTAATAGGAATTCATACATTTGGTAAGATGCCAAAACAAGTTGCTGCGTTTCTCAAATTAAAGGATGTTCATGAACATACCGGACATTGTTTCCGTAGAACTTTAATTACCTACATTATTAATAAATTCAAGAGCTTATACTACAACTTTAAAAATGCATGGTGGATGGAAATCTTCAACGGTAGCTGAAGGCTACATTGAGGAGTCCATAACTCATAAATCAGTATTTATCAAAAAAAATTCCCTACTGCAAGTAGGTACATTAAGTTTTTAAATAGTCCAACGACTTCAATAGTTCATAAGCCATCTACTAGTGAAAACAGTTCAAACTACATAGACGAAGGAATTGTTTCAAAACAAATAGGGCAAGGGATATACCCTACATGCTGTTCTAATTTTACTATAGGTACATGTTTACAATCAATAAAATTACTTTCGTTAAAGAACAAATTTTAATTTTTAATTTAGCGGGAGTAAAAATAATTCTAACGAATAGGCAGTAACTGTGAAACTTTAATGCCTAACAGTTGTCACTAAAACTGCGTCTTTAATGTCTATCGACGAAAAACTTATTTACTTTTATCGGAATAGAATAAAACTTAAATTTATAATTCAACTCTTACCTCTCCACCGTGTGGATCTCTCTCTACATCATATTGAACGACAAATTGTCCAGATAAGCCACTCGATTCCTTATCCCCAAGATAACGAGCAAATTGTCTTTGGTCTTCTGAATCCGGATTAAATTTAACTACAGCTGATGTAGAATTTATTATCTCTAATTGAGAAGATGGATTCAATTTATCTTCGTTCTTACTGATTTCGTTTCCAGACCTCAAAGAGGGAGTTCTAACGAATTTTAGCGGCCTACTCTCATTTATTTGTACCTTAAAGTAAATTATAAATGTATGAAAAAATTACGTTTATTTTGTGTGCACTTACCTTCACATTCAAATCTTTTACAATTTGGCCAGGATGAATGTTAACAATTAATTCATACTGATCGTTTCTACGGTCCAACAGTTCTTCATATGTTAGCAGGAATACAACTTTTGACTCTGGTTCTACGTTCACCGATACTGTGAACTTTTTAGAGTTCCTAGTACTTACGGCAACGTGCCCTGCACTTTGTCCACTAGCGACCGCCTGAAATGAAAGAATACGTTTACTATTTATAAATAATTTATTAGGATTAACAAAGAAAGAAATAGTATAAGAGGAGATTTGGTTCATTACTATGGATTATATTGCAAATAGTATTTTCTAAAATTATGAGTGGGTTTTAGAGCCGTATAAAATTCAGTATGAAATTGCACTTAAAATACAAATATTTATCTAATTGTCAAAGTTTTATGGGGTATTCGCATAAAAAAGTGTATAGTGTTTTGTCACTATTCTACAACAAAAGTTAATGCAAACTATACAGGAAAATTCGTTAAGAATTTTTATTCGAATTGTACGCCATTGCTATTCATATTTTATATACTTACTACCACTATTTACTTCTATTTATCTAGTTGATATAGTTAGGATCTGTCTTAGAGTATCATTTCTTACTATTCCCGATTAGCCTTACTGTAAATTTTGTGTACTGGTTTAGTGTAAGATCCAATAAAAGTATTCAAGTTAATTTAATGTAAGTCTTTAGGAAATTATCTAGCTTGGTCGTGACTTCTGTGGATACGTTGAAATGGAATGACTTTATGTGATATTATATTATATTATTGTTAATTTTACTACATGCATTTTGATTTCTTAGATTAAAACATTTTGTTAAATTGTATTTGTCTATTTTTGATTTGTGTTAACATGCTTCTAATAATATTAAACGTTAAACTTCAAAGTCTTCTCAGTCAAAAAACTTAAATATCGTTGGTATTTTGAAAATTTATATTTTCCGCAAATATATACAAAAAGTAATGAGAAAGGTATATACTTTTGGAATGCATATATAGCCCTCTTTCCGATTTTTTAAATAAAATACATGGTATTCCATATAAAAAAACACAAGTTGTGGTCATATTACAAAAATTAAGAATATTATCACATTTANTGCCTTATCCATACATGTATAATAAAAATCAAGCACATAATATTGCTTATAAAATAGTTACTTATTGTAAAATAAGTGTCATCTATAAGACATAGATGAAAAATATACGTGCTTACCTTAGTTATAATATCTTTACACCAACTATCCTAACCGAACTACAATTTCGAATGTGTATAAAATTAGAATTTTCTGTTATTTATGCCTTCTTTAAATGTTTTTCATATTTTATTTATTCCAACTAAAAGTTAACTGATAAATTTAATTATAAACATCGGCCATATATAAACAATATAAATATTATCAATATCATTTTAAAAGACCAGTGGAGTAATTAGCTCAAATTCAGCGATTTTTTTTTTGTAAATAAATATGTAATCTCAAAAAAAGAGTAAATTGTAAACTGGATCTGATTTTCAAGGTGTTTAAAGAAATTTTTTTACAAACTAGCATTAAGGACTTTTTAATGTTAGACACAGGAAAAATGATGAGGCGGGGTTCAACTGGACTACAGCTCTATACCCACGCCATCACTGTTGGTCCGGACGCCACATAGAGGACTCGTTCCTGGCTGGGTCCCTCCGGCTGGGACCGTTATACATATGTAACAAAAACCGGGACGTGTTTGTTAGTTCTCGGAACGGATGGACCAACTCAGACAGTAAAATATTTCAGTTAACAATAATTATCGGAAAGTTAAGGGTTTTCAAGTACGTTTAGCGTCGCCTTAAAGTCGTCGAGAGACTAGTGCCTTTTGCAAAGCCTATCTTTGTGCTGTGGAATATATCTCAAAAAGTACTTATAGAACGTTCAAACCGTTTTGAGATATCTTGAAATGGAAACCAGAAAAGGACACTGGTCGGGCTAAAAATCGAAAATATCTAACAGATAGAGAGATGCAGATTGCGCCATTGTTATTTTCTCGATAAAAGAGCTCTGAACTTGTAATCAGATTTGCTTTATCTATGAAAGATTCGCAGTAACCCTTCAAAACCGACCAATATGAACCACCCGGTACACCTAGTAGTAGTGCAAATTCTCCTCAAATTAATTAATGAAAATAGAGCGTCTACACATTAGCAGCTAGCACACACTTGGCTGGGTCTCACGTTCATCATATTGCCATTTCCCTCACACAATGACGTAACTGAATTTCTGTTGGATACGAAAGTATGTGAGAACACGTAAAGAGGTTATATAACTCTGATTTGTAATTTTTTTTAGACATGTACGAAAGAGGATTATGAAAGCAGACAACAAATTTGAACTAATAAATCNATTTATACAATTGTAAATTCAGTCAATTAGGTAACTATTAACATGGTATGTTTATGCCAAAGCGTCCCGATATTCAGGAATCCCGCCAGTAAGATAAGAACCGAAACTTCGGAACCCAAGAAATGGACGTGTCGAAGCGAGGTGTCGAATTCAGGAGATATCTCCAAATAAGGGCAGTTTTTCCTTGGGTTCCACACCGAGCAGTCTACTTAGTTTTAGAGTCTCGGGTTAATTTAATAATGGATAAAGTCTTTCCAAATTTTGTTATGGATCTCGTATTCCTTGAATCTCGGTTCGCTGTCGCGTGTAAATGAATTAATAATGTTTGTTCGAGTCTACAGTGTTACCGTTATTTTGTTTGTTCGTTTTGTTTTTATTGTTATTAAAACCCGTCCTGGAAAGTTTTGGTGTTTTCTTGTTCTTCCAACTTAAGTATCACCCTATACAACCAACCTCTGGATTACCTTGTACATGAGCGACGTACGGTAAGTGTCTGGAATTCATTCTCTGAACGTGCAACATTTCTAAGTTCCCACGTATAAATTAAGGTGTAGATGATAAAAATTATAAACTCCCTTTCGAGAAGATAATACTAAACACTTTTGAAATCCAGTATCGTTATGATACTGGTCATAATGGTAGATAGATAAATAAAAAAATAACCTCTCAGGTGATACATATGTAAGTTTGGTTCTCTATGGTGGATTAAATAAATGTCATGAATAATATACGTGTGCTGGGTGATTTACAAGATGCCGGGGAGCAGGCAGAAATCAGAAGACCATTTAGAAAAAGGGAAGATCCATTTCGTTCAGCAAATGCGAATTTTGTTAAATATTTTCGGATTAATAAAGAATTGGTTTAGTATAAAAATATGTAAATGTTTTGATATAGAGATATGGTAAATTTTAATAAAAGCTGAAGTTAAATAGCTAGTTTATTTAGTCAAATTAAATTTGATATGTTGTTTTTAAACTGGACAACTAGAATATAGGTAAACAGAAAGAAGCAACTTCAGACATTTTCTTTACATGTCTTGTAATTTAGCACTTTTAAAAGTAAAGTTATTACTAAATTTTCCACTTTGTGACTGAATGGTATTGTAAGAATTCAATTAATACTTCTTTCTTCCGAGAACTTAAATCCTCTCTCTCGAATCAGTACCTGTTTTTTTACATCCTCCATATTCTAAATTATAATAACCATTTATACAACTAGTAGAAAAGGTAGGTGTATTGTATATAATATAATCTTTACTTGAGTGTTGAAAAGCTCTAATTATATAGCGAATGTAGAAAAAAAACACTATCCATCCAGCGCTAACAAATTTAGTTACGGAACCGCGAATGACATTTCAGTTAAGTTCGATATTTGGTTAGTTTAATTAAAAATAGTTAATTAGTGTTTTTTATTTTATTGCACATTACTCACTACGTAATTTAGTAACCCTGCACAAGAACTTTTTACTCCCCTCTACTCTATTTTCTTCAGGAATAACTACTATAACGTGTGAGAAAAGCATATGATATGATCACATCATTTTTGAGGATAAGTGTTCCTATCTTACAACCTGAAGAATAGCTCCCAGGTGTTGATGTCTAGACCGCCTGAATCTGCCGGCAGCCTCTTTGGGGATCAGCGGGTTGCTGCGAGTTTCGGCGCGCTCGAAAAGTTTTCTCCCTCAAAAACTTAAAGGTCACTTTAGCAGTGCGCTTCTTAAGCTTCATAGTTACACGAGATTGCCCAAACANTGCCTTATCCATACATGTATAATAAAAATCAAGCACATAATATTGCTTATAAAATAGTTACTTATTGTAAAATAAGTGTCATCTATAAGACATAGATGAAAAATATACGTGCTTACCTTAGTTATAATATCTTTACACCAACTATCCTAACCGAACTACAATTTCGAATGTGTATAAAATTAGAATTTTCTGTTATTTATGCCTTCTTTAAATGTTTTTCATATTTTATTTATTCCAACTAAAAGTTAACTGATAAATTTAATTATAAACATCGGCCATATATAAACAATATAAATATTATCAATATCATTTTAAAAGACCAGTGGAGTAATTAGCTCAAATTCAGCGATTTTTTTTTTGTAAATAAATATGTAATCTCAAAAAAAGAGTAAATTGTAAACTGGATCTGATTTTCAAGGTGTTTAAAGAAATTTTTTTACAAACTAGCATTAAGGACTTTTTAATGTTAGACACAGGAAAAATGATGAGGCGGGGTTCAACTGGACTACAGCTCTATACCCACGCCATCACTGTTGGTCCGGACGCCACATAGAGGACTCGTTCCTGGCTGGGTCCCTCCGGCTGGGACCGTTATACATATGTAACAAAAACCGGGACGTGTTTGTTAGTTCTCGGAACGGATGGACCAACTCAGACAGTAAAATATTTCAGTTAACAATAATTATCGGAAAGTTAAGGGTTTTCAAGTACGTTTAGCGTCGCCTTAAAGTCGTCGAGAGACTAGTGCCTTTTGCAAAGCCGTCCTTCGGAGAAGGCCTCATGAAATTTAGCATGTTTTTGAACAAGTAGACTTAAATCGTTGGGGCCATGTGTCGGGCATCTGGTATTCGACTAACTGCGTCGGTTCAGCCCATGGTGAAGGGAAAAATCGATATTTCTAATAACGCGCGAAGTACATTCGAAAAGACGTAGGAATTCCAAGATATTTAAATAAGTTGTTAGAATGTTGTGAGAAAAATAATAATAGATCAAATAGCTTATTTTTATGCGGATTTTCCAAGCTATAAGAGTAGATTAAATGAGATTTACTAATCTGTCCCGTGTTG